GCTTGTTTCTTATCAGACTTTTAGTTAGAAAGAAAAATGTTTCCATCAGCAGAAAGGTTTATTTTTTTTTAAACTTAAAATGTGTTTTAAAATTTCATAGCGCCCCCCCCCCCCCCCCCCCAGCATCATCATAATGGGAGTTGTGAAAAGGAGACATACTCATTGTCCAATGCTGTGGTGCTGTCTGCTTAACAATGAAAGATAAACGTAGCATTCCTGAAGGAATAGAGAAAAGTTAAGTGCCCTTCCACCAAGTTCAATTATATGTGCATATCCTTTAGTGGAAATAGAATGAGGATCTTGTCTGCCCCATTAATAGATGCAAATATTCATTTTATAGTGAAATATTTTTTTTCTTGAACAATAACTCAGGCTTCTAATTACCCATTTCCCACTATGCCATCTTTACTACTTGACTAACTTTCCTTTAACCCTTTCTACGTTGGGCAAATAAGTTGAATTATTTGAAAATTTAATGTAGGTTATAAGCCATACTTCCTCTTTCAGAAGCTATTTGAATTCTGAGTGTCCGGGTGCGGGGGAGACAAGATACAGTGTAGAAAAAAAAAATCATTTTCAGTATTGAGTTTATTTTCACAAACATTTCCAGTTCTCTCCTGACCAATGAGACTCTTTTTGAAGAGGGAAGCTCTTGGCAACATTATTTGTCTCCTCAAAAGAGTTCTCAAAATATACTGTGTCTATCTACCATTGTGGTGTCAAAGCTCCCAAGCATTTGGCCCCCTTATCGAGCACCCTTTCCCATCTGCACTGAAGTCAAAACTCTCCGACCCCTTTGTGAATGCCTCACAACCGAGACCTTTTCCATTTGTAGATAGACACTCTTAATTTTGGACTGTGAATTACTTTGTCCTAGTTTTCTACTTAAGAAAATTGGCCCTTTTAAGTGTAGGGAAGAAAGGCCTACTCTTGCATAGCTTTCATGCATTGGGCCTCTAGTATATATATAATACTCAGAACCTAATAACTGTTTCTCATCCCTAATAAAATTTGCATTGTGGAAATTTTATTCTAAATAATAGATTTATTTTGTAGAATACTTCCCCTTAACATTTTGCTATATACACAAATATTGTATTATAGTATGTGTGGTTAATATACTATTAACCACATAGTTCAAGGATCAGTTCTATCTACTGTTTTTCATATGATATTTAATATGTTTATTAAGAAATTTATACTTTCTCCTTCTATCTCATGGTCTCATCTTGGTTGTTCCATTCTTTTCTGTCTTTACCAATATTCTTTACCTGATCTTTAAAAGAGTTAGTCATTTTTCCAAATAAATAAAATATGTAGGCTTCTAATTTTTCTAGTCCTCCTCTGAACAGTAAACAAATGAAAAATTCAAAATGCAAAGATTGGTAATATTGGACAAGTAATAAAAAACAAACATTAAACTGGATACATAACTTTATGAAATAAATTATTGACATGCATATGTAGGTCAGTGTGTATATATATATATATATATATATATATATATACACACACACACACACACACAATTTTTTGTTTAAGTCTTTTTAATTGCATAATTTTGGGTCGTATATATGTATGTATATACGACCCAAAATTATGCAATTAAAAAGACTTAAAAAATTTAAGTCATCTAATATAATAACTTTTAAAAGGCTTTTGTGCTTTTTATTTACATATTAAACAGATGATGAGTAAAATTTGTTTTATTCCAGTTTTTTAGAAGACATTTATCAAAACATTAAAGAACACACATAACACACAAAACAGAAAATATATGAAATTTTTAATGTACTGTTACATTCATTTCCATTAGAATACATTCATGGCACTTGAACTGCTACCATTTTTTGGCTATTCCTTCTACTTAATGTAGCTATTCACCTCTCAGAGGTTAGAAATTTAAGAATAATTCTTAAAACAATAATTTACTTAGATACTGATTTTCCCTGAGTACAGGATTAAATATCAAAACTAAATTTATAACTACATTTTGTTGATACTTTGTATTTTACTTCGCTATCCTAACATTATGGAAACCTGAAATTTTTTATGTAATCTTGGGATCTATAAGTATTAAAAGTACATTTGAAATAAAACGGAACCTTAAGTCATTATACTTAATAATAATCAAGGCAAGTCATTTTCTAAATATGAATGTAGTTCAGATTTTATTATGTATTTAAATGTCCTGTGTCTTAATTTTGTCTTAAGTCCTGCTATCAATAAGTATTTATCAATTACTAAGAAAACCATTGTTTATCAGTAAAATAAAGTTTTACCTAATAAAATTATTTAAGTTAATAAATTTTAGTATCTAAAATTTTAATTAACAATATTTGGTAAATTTATTGTTATCATCTGTTACTTTGATTATCCTCCAAATAATTTTAGTAATAGTTTCTACTTCCTATTAGAGTGAGAATCCTGCACTAGATTACACAGTATAGACTGTTGTAATTAAGTTACTTAATTGTACTTACAATTGATTGTATTAAAAATTATAAAATGTAATTGTGTAACTTTCATCATAAATTATTTCAATTCACCTTTAATGAATTAAATTCACTTTTTAGGATTTGCTTTACCTTAACTAACCCATAAAAGAAGAACAATGTACTATTTATATTATTCTTAAATGGTCTCCAGCTCTAACATACTATAGTATAGAGCCAAATTATATAAATTTATATATTTAACCATTAGCTTTTAAGGCAATTTCAAAACAGCCTTGTAAAATAGGGTAGTTCTTTGTTGCAAAATTGTGAATTACTACCATTTACTTTTCTCTAGAATCGTACTGATTCATTTCTAAGATATATTTATTTTACAATATATCTTAAAATGTGATGATTTAAGGCCAAAATCAAAATATTATATTTGAGTTTAATAAAATGAGTAATGGTTATATAATTTTTTGTTAATGCAGATACAACCCATATCAGAAAATGCCATAAAGTCAGTGTTTTTAAAAAATATGTAAAGCTATCCGGGATTTAAATAACATCTGACCTTTGAGGAAAATTCCTTTCAAATATGTTTAATTTCAGTGACAAAACATAGAATTCGATTTGTCTTAAGACTTTGAGTAGACCTAACAAATTAATAGATTAATTTTAGGTTTAAGGAGGAGGTCCTAGATAAAATAGTATGCTCCCACTTATTCTGAGAAGGTCCTAGATAAAATAGTATGCTCCCACATATTTTAGTAGAGTTATCAAAATAGAAAATTTTTAACACTGATGAAATAGACTAATAGCAGCACTGTAACTGTACCACTGCTAGAACAGTGGAACCAGGAGAAAAAAGTTAATTACAATGGGAAGAGGAGAAAAAAAATCAGCTACTGATATCTGAAACTTTATGGTAATGGAAAGATTAAAAAAAAGGCAAGCTCAAAATTCATTAAAATTATTTTGTCTAATTTCTCAAAAAAGATATAACACAGTCATGTTTTTCTTTTAAAATACTAGAGGCCTGGTGCACAAAATTCATGCACTTGGGGGGTGTCCCTCAGCCCGGATTGTGAGAGGGCACAGGCCAGACTGAGGGATCCTACTGGTGCATGATTGGGGCTGGGGGGGATGTGGGAGGTTGGCCAGCCAGGGAGAGATTACAGGAGGGTCCCAGGGTATGTCTGGCCTATTTTGCTCAGTCCTGATAGGCCTGACCCCAGCAGCAAGCTAACCTTCCAGTCAGAGCTTCTGCCTCCTGGTGGTCAGTGCAAGTGGTTGAGTGACTTTAGCACCTCATTAGCATATTATGTTTTGATTGGTTAAATGGCTGACCAGACACTTAGCATACTAGGCTTTTATTGTATAGATTAGGGGCCCAGTGTACAAATTCATGCATATTGAAAGGAACTGTGGGCTGTGAGGTTGCAGTGGGCACAAGGGCGGGTCTTGGCCCATCCTCTGCACTGCCACCTGCCCCTTCCATTGCGGCCCCTGGTCCCATCTACCAGCAGGCCCACTCCTACAGCCGCCGCTCCATGTGCTGAAGACATCTGCCCTGCTCGCACTCATTGACAGTGTGGAGCAACTGGGGCCGGTGCCAGCAGCGCATGCAAATGGGGCTGGTGCCATCAGCAGGTGTGAGTGGCAGCTGCTGTCTTGATCACCCCTCAGGAGCAGGGGGAGGTGGAGAAGCCCTCAGGGGCAATCAGGGCTGGCAGCTGCCACTTGCATCCATTGATGGCACTGAGTGATCAGGCCTGACGTGGGTGCCGGCAGTGGGTATAAATAGGACCAGTGCCAGGAGCAAGTGCAAGCACTGGGCGGGACCACAGTGCAAGGAACAAAAAATTTTTAGTAACCACCATAGGCTCACTTGGATGACAGCGACCAATGACCCACCTTGGTCTGGCGCCCCTGCTCACCTGCTTCCCCATCCCACCGTGGCCATGTTTTGTGCTCTGCCACTTGCTGCTGATGCCTGCCATGTTCTATGCGTGCCCCCTGGTGGTCAGCTCACTTCATAGACACCAGTTGTTTGGTTCCACCGTTTGGTCTATTTGCATATGTAGGGTTTTATATATATAGATGTACATCTACTTGAGATTTAAATCTGACATTTGAGAATTCCTTTCGAATATGTTTAATTTCAATATTGAGTCTTTAATGTCTGGTCTAATGCTTACAAGAGGTGCAGGAATTTAGGTTACTTAAATTTTTAGAACATACTTCTTTACAAAATGGTTTCTCTTATTAGAAATATGGTTTTGTGAGATAAATTATGGAGCTCAACCAAAAAACAAACAAACAAAAAACAACTATTTACAGAAGGCTGATCCAGATTTAACAAAATCTGAGACAATGTTGTAATTTATAAAGTTAAGAATTCTGTGGTTAAGATGAAAAGTATACTTGAAAATATTTTAAACACCCAATATGGTATTCTGTGTTATGACATTCTAAAGAGCAGTTAACATTTCTAATATCATGTGGGGAAATAAGTAGTATTAGAAACCAATAGTACTCAGTTAAAGTCTAGTTATTGATTTAGAGATTGGGGTTCATTCCAATCCAGTGTTTGATTAACTGATGTGCAATCGCTCGGCTTGGTGGCACGAAGAATGCCTGCTGCTTTCCTTTGGTTAGAACATCCACAACCTAGAATACACATAATAAAATGTATTAGGATTTCAACACTCTCATACTTAAATATTATTTCTATGCTTTTACAATTCAACTTAAATGTGAGAACTTTTATAGTGAATGACAACAGTAAAAAGTGATTAATATCCACATTCACCATGCAGAATTTAGTACAGCATCTTTAGTTGCTTCAATGAGTTTGTGATTCAATTTTTAAAATATTAGGGAAAATAAGGTCATGAAAAAGCTAAGTATATGCTCCACACTTATTTTCAAAGTAAAGTCATCTTCTGGGATAGGTTCATTTTACAAAATTCTGAAAAAAAATATAATTTCTACTTTTGGAGGTTGAGCATAAAATAAATTTTATTTAGACATAGTCAGAAGGATTTCAGGTGTTCAATACTGCAGTATATCCATTTGTTTTCTACACAAATACTCTGGGTTATATAAAATACAGACAAGTAATTTATCTCGCATTATAATACTTAATGATGTTTCAAAAAGCTCTTGTGAGTTTTATCTTCTTATCCGTAAATATAATTTAAATTGAATAAGAACTTTTCACAAATTTTAAACTTAGTTTTATACTGATACTAGAGACCCGATGCACGAAATTCATGTCTGGGCCTTAGCCCTGACCCCTTCCCTCCACCACTGCGGCCCAGGGGCCTTTGTTGCCTCTGCCTCAGCCCCCACCTACTGTGACTTTGTCTGGAAGGAAGGTTGCCCGGAAGGATGTCTGGTCTAATTAGCATATTACACTTTTATTATTATAGATTTTTTTTTTAAGAGAAAACTGTTTTAAAGCTATAAATTAAAATACAAAATGTCTAAAAACAATATTCCTGTTTTTTATCTCTGATATGGTTACCTAGTTTAAGTCCATTAAAAGGTACTAATCTAAAGGAAAGGCATTTGATATTAGAAAATGGCATAGAATCAGCATTACTAGAAGAATCTCAGAGAATGACTAACACATCAATTACACTGTAATCCATGCATGATGAGAGGCTATGGCCATTCATTCAACTTGCTGAAAACAAGTATCTTTGCTGCATGCTTAAACCAATACCGTCAGAGAACAATCAATAGAAGAAGGAAATTAAATTGAACTTTACCTGTTCTCTAGTGAACCAGCGGGCATCCTCTATTTCATTCTTGTCAACTTTAATTTCTGTAGACACTGCCACAGCTAAGCAACCGATCATTAAGGAAGAGGGCATTGGCCATGGTTGACAAGAGACATACTGAACATGGCCAACTTTGACACCACTTTCCTCTTCTACTTCTCTCCGAACAGCATCTTCTATTGTCTCCCCTAATCAAATGGGGCAAAATAACAAGTAGCTGATAAACATGCCCTGTACATATTGTGCTAGGAATGATCCAAACATTGGCAATCACTTTGGACAGAAACCCAGTCAGTTCAAAGAATCAGAAAGTAGAAGCCTAAAACTAGATTGGAATTTAAGAAAACATTATTTCTTAAAGTGTATGACCACATACAAAATCAAAATAGCAACAAACTTCTCATTTTTTTAAAGGTCTAAATTTCTAGTTACATTAAAAAAATAACATATACAACTATCTAGCACCTATTTTTGGCTAAACACTGTAAACACTTCATATATTATTTCATTAATATATTATCACTAAATAGTTATTAATTATAATTATTTTTAATGGCTAGTCTTTTCCTCACTAAAATATTTAAACTCTTTTTCTTATGTTGTCAATTATTACAGATAACTATTTTCAAAATAGTTAGAAAGCATGTAACACTAAAAGTTTAAAAACCACAGTAAGTGAAATTCAGCATTTTTCTTTTAACATTATTATTTTCCTCTAGATCAGCAATTTTCAACCGGTGTGCTGCAAGAATTTTTAAAACATGCAATACATGACTATTTAGTTAGGGGCATTGACCTCTTTTCCCTTAGGCTGTCAAGTGAAACACGACAACAGCCAACACAACAATAACTGACCGATGTGAATGCCCTGTCTTGAACAATAAAAATATGTCATATAACAGAGATGCATCTTATTGATCATGCTGCATAAAAAGGTTCAGTCTGATTGGTTAATTCTTTGTACCAAAAATCCTTATATACAAATATAAGGCACCTGATTTTAAAAAAAAATCACTTAGGATCAAAAAGGAGAGGTAATTACTATTATATTTTTGTAAATCAATCAAGATTATACATATTTTATTTGTAAGACTGGCAAAAAATATATTTTGTGTGGGCTGCAGAATTTTAGTAATTAGTTTATGTGTGCTATGAGATGAAAAAGGCTGAAAGTGGCTCTAGATGACTGCTGAGTCAGCTTTAATACAATAAAATGATGCCTATAAATGTACCTTATATTTTGAATTTTTGGATTTGAGAATTAGGATAGAGGGAATGGTTTCTAAGTTAAGTTTATCTGGAAGTTTAGAAATATTGTGCTATTTAAATATAGCTTTCTTTTTCAAATAGATTAATATATTTCCTGTATTGAAATTAACAACTTATATTCACAAAAGAACAATGAAAAGATGAGACATTGACTAGCATAAGACTGAACATTTAATGTACTGCTAGAAGGAATGTAAATTTGCAGGGACATTTTAGAGAGCAACTTGGCAATGACTAAAAACGTTAAGAGGCTCATATCCTATGATCTAACAATGGTACTCTCAGGTATATATATTCTAGATAACTCTTGCAAATGTGCACAAGGAGTGGTATAAAAATATTCATTGCGGTGTTGCTTATAATAGTAAGAACTTTGAAATAAATGTCCAACAGCAGAATAAATAAATTGTAGGATATTCATAAATGGAATATTATACAGCAGTGAAAAAAGGTAATCCAGAGCTATAAGGAACAGCAGAGTGATTAAGATCATGGACTCAGAGACAACTGCCCAGGTTTAAATCCCTGCCCTAACTTACAAACTGCTAGATTTGTGGCAAGTTATTCAGCTCCAATACTTCTGTGCCCCATCTATAAAACTGCTGAGGATAATATGACTTAATACATGTAAAGCTTTGGGAAGAGTGTGGCTCTAATATATATTTATTACTATTATTATATAGTAATGCAGATTAATATTGGAAGTTTGAGGTTAAACATGTATTAATTAGATATACTTATTCATTTATTCTGCAAATATTTATTGAACTCTTACTATGTAAGAGGCACTGCTTTAAGGGTTTGGGACATACCAGTGAATAAAACGAAGTCCCTGCCCTTACCGAACTTACTTTCTGATAAAAGCAGATAAGTGGAGATAGACAAATACATACAAAAATACATACATACATACATACTTTGTTAGGTGGTGATGAGTGCTATAGCAAAAAAAAACCTGGCAGGATAACAGAAATTGTGAATGCAGGCTATGGGGCTAACGGATGTATTTGGGACTATCAGAGAAGGTCTATTTGGAAAGATGACAGCTGAGTCTAGCACAGAAGGAAGTAAAGTATAAATCATGCCAATATTTTGGATAACAGCAATATATGAAAGATATGTGAAAGAGCAAGTATTGAATTTTTAAAACACAAAATTATTCCATTAGTAAAAACAAAAGTTGCATCACTTAAAATACACAGAAAATATGTATAAGTAATGGTTTTACTTAATAATTTATCAAAGATTATTTCTCAAATGCTACCTAAAATATTTATTTGGAAATTATACATTAAATAAAAGTTATTAGAAACATTATTTTTAAAAAGCTTACCAGGTTCAATAAATCCAGCAAGGCAAGTAAACATGCCTGGAGGAAATCTTTTCTGCCTGCCTAAAAGACATTTGGTCCCATCTGGATGAATAACTTGCATGATTACTACTGGATCTATTAAAAAAAAAAATCAGATGTATGAATAACAGGAAAAATAATTTCTACTCATTTTGTATATACAGTCACTATCTAGTAGGATAATTAAAAGGTATATATACTGTAAGAACATGATTTGTCTAGTTACAAGAGATTGTTTCTCCCTGCCTAATGACAGTATTTTTGGGAAGTTATATAGAATACTGTCAGTAAGCTAATTTTAATAACACTTATTGTGTACTTATGGGATGCTAAACATATTTTTTTAATGTATTTTTATTGATTTCAGAGAGGAAGAAAGAGGGAGAGAGAGATAGAAACATCAATGATGAAAGAGAATTATTGATTGGCTGCATCCTGAATGCCTCCTACTAGGGATTGAACCCACAACCCAGGCAGGTGTCTTTGATGGAAATCAAACCTGGGAACCTTCAGTCCACAGGCTGACACTCTATCCACTAAGCCAAACCAGGTAGGGATCTTATTTTTTTTATATGAAAAAAGTGTGAGTAGATAATACATGGCATGAATAAAATTCAAATTTTACCATAGTAAATGTAGTGGATTTTTCTCTTCTAATCCGTAATAAAATGCTTTTAAAAGCTAAGGTGGCTTTGTGATTATGTTTAAGCTATTAAAAATACATAAACATATAAATTACAGTTCATGTCTTCAGATGTCACTAATCTAGTAAATTATCCTCTCTATATCATGACTGAGATCCAGGAATCAGATGAAAAAGGTTCCTGAGCAGTAAAAATAGATGTCACTAAGCCATGCACTTTATTCACTCCGAGGAGACCTCGTCAAGTGTTGCTTACTTTGTCTATTTTTTTTCACAGTTTGAAAGGGCTGAGTTATCAGATTTCTAAATCAACAGCAGTCTCAAAGCAATTAGGAGCAGAGAAAGTATAGGCAGATACCAGCAGTTATGAGAAGCTAGCTCCAGGCTGTACTGCTTGGGTGATGCCTCAAACAGGCACTAAATTGTTGGGGCTTCTTTTTTGGTGTCTCTGAACTAAGTGGACCCAGATTAGTGGGCTTTTAAAATCATGTATCTCAACACATCAAATTCACATTGATTAACCCAGAGTTAAGAAATGGCTACTTAGGTACAATGGCCTTTACTTAAAATTCATGAAAGTACGTAATAACTTAATACTTATAGACTTAATGGTTAAATTAAAATGCTCTTAACAAAAAGGTCAACCCCCCAGCAGCTGAAAATATTGTCTTTCTAGAATGTCTTATTTCTCAAGATCCCAGATGGCTGAGATTTCACTGTAAAAGAAAGGCTTACCAACTCTTGGATATGATGTATTGTGAACGCCCTGGAGGCTAGGGCAGTCTTCTTTTAAGCAGACTCTTTTATAGCCGCCTTCTTCAACTTTAGTTGAACTTCCACAGGTTGGGCAGAACTTGTATCGACTGTGCCAGGCAAGAACAGATCTTGCTTGAGCTACAACTCCTTTTTGAGAAAAACAAAAAGTTTTAATTCTGTGACAATTTATAAACAAATTAATATATAAGTAAAATATTCTTGAATCATAATAAAGACATATAGTATAAATGTTAAGTCATGATAAAAAATATACTTCTGACTAGCGATGTGATCAAGAGTTTAGTATTCCTATTTTTGTGATGTGTACTTTTTTTTCAGTAGAAGATTTAATTCATCTGACAAATGAAATTAGATTAAACTTTAATTTGCACTAAGAAAATATAATACATATAAGAGAGATGTACTAACATGTACTAACAAATAGTGATTTTATAATGGAAACTTTTCTAAAAATAATTACAAAGGCTGTTCATAACTTGGACTTGAACTAAAAAAGGCAGTATTACAAACTGATGGTACTCGTCTCTACCTTGGTGACTGGCTAAGCCACTACTGGTCCGTATCATTGTGGAACCTATCCTGTTTACAACCGGAAACTGTACGTAATATTAAAATACAGAATGCTGTTTACAACATTCATATCCTTGGAAGGGCCTTGCCCATTACTAAGGGAATGGAAACACTGACAAGTGACCCCTTTATCATCTCCCTTTAACTCCTCAATCTATCATAACTGAGCTTTTCTTCCACTCCACTGGTACTCCTCTTGTCAAATTCACCAAAACCTTCTTACTCTCCAAACCAAAGAGCTTTAAAAAAAAACCCCACAAAACTTTGTCTTTGTCTTACTCATATTCTCAACGGCATTTGATGCATTTGACCAGTACCTCCAAAAAACACTCTGCTCTCCTGGTTTCCATGCCTCCTGTTTTCCTCCTTTCTTTTGGCCATACTGTCAACATCACTTTTGATGGCTCCTCTTTCTACCTGACCTTTAAATGGAGAGGGATTGAGGTATGATTCTGAGATTCTCTTTCTTACTTGCTCTCAACTTGAGGTAATCTCAGCAGTTTCCTGAGATTCAAAAACCATCTTTGTGTTGAGGACTCCCATATGGATATCACTAGTTCAAACCTCTCCTCTCCTCTCTCCAGATTCTAATATCCTCTGAAATTTAGCATGCCCAAAACTAATATCTTGATTTACTTACTTGAACTGTTTCCTGCTTCCCTTGCTCTACTCACACCCCATATTATTTTATTTAAATAATAAAATACCTACCAAATTACTAAAGTCTCAAGCCTAGCAGTCGTTCCTTTTCCTTCATTATTATATACTCTATCCTCATTCCATCAAGTACTGTCAATTCTCTATCAAAAATATATCTTGAATGTACCTTCTTTTCACCATTTCTAGTATTATCACCTTAGTTTAGGGTTTAGTCTAGGTTACTATCATCTCCCTCTTATTTGTAGTAGTCTCAACATATTGATCAAGCCCTATCAGTCCTACCTCCATATCTCAAACTCTCTTTTCTGCCACTCCACCACTAATATAAGCCAATAAAATATCTTACTTGGGATGCAGTAATTTCTAATCACCTCACAACAAAACTCCTGACTTCCATACTTAATTGCCTACAATTCATGATCTATAAAACAGCCAAAGTGACGTTTTTTATACTAACACCCCTAGTTTCTTATCATGACTTGAAAGGTCCCACATAAACTGGCATACTCAGCAACAGAAAAAAACAAAATCATTTAAGTCTTTGCCATCATGCTCATTGTATAGTAGTGCGCTCAATCATTATTCACTGAAGAATCAAATGAAACCATCATGCTTTAGGGTTAATTCTGGGGAAATTTGTCTTAGCTGATTAAGATTGCTGTAACTGCCCAGGAGAGTAGTACTCTAGGGTGAGAGCTTTGTAAAGTTTCTAATGAAGATATAGCTTCATTTCATTGCTTACTGAAAAAAGCATGCCCCTAGAAACTGTAGATACATACAACTCCAATAGAGTTCCAAGACCAGATTATTATCAATACAAGTATTGAGTGTTCACTTCTTACCAGCTTCATTTTCTTTCAATTGCAGAAGAGCTGGCATTGGAGGATGAAGGAAATAACAATTTTCATGTCTTTGCTTAAATTCTTCAGCAGCAACAGGATCTATACCTAGAGCAAACCAGGCAACCAGCCCATCTTCTCCTTCTCTTGGGACTTCCCCAGTGTAATTAAGTAACTCTTTTTTCATTTCAAGTTCTACTCCAAGGAAAATCAAGGTGATCTTTTCGGGCTGAGCCAAATACTCCTTTACATCTGTGTAGTTCAGCTGACAAAGCCTGACTTCTGGCTGTTGGGAACTCTCTTTGTTGCCACCCAGAGTAACCAAGGGATTTAGATCTGAGAAAAGTATATAAACTGTGGCTGGGTGGCTTTCTTTAATTAGTAGCCAGTCAGAATTATTTCTTTTTTCACTTTTCCGGTCCAACAGCGTTTTGCCAAAATAATTTTCACATTCTTCTACTTCATTGGTTAGGAACCAAGGCTTCTTCCCACCTTTATTATTAGCTAGTAAGTTAGCTATATGCTTGTAACCCCAAAATTTAGCAATATCCAGTGCAGTCTGCCTTGATTTGTTGACAATGGATCTGTCACACCTATAGATAAAAGGAAAAATATAATAGGAAACAAAGGTTTTCTCCAGTAGTTACTTAATATTTTCAGATGCATATTATAGTTCATTTATTTAATGCTTACATAGATTTTTCTTCATTTAGTACATAATTTACAAGTGGGAAGGTTAAAAGAAATAATCATAAATCATGAAAAGTTATAGATAGTGGATATTTCAATTTTCTGGAGAATTATAAAAGTAGTATGTACTATGTGATATTAAAATTCTACAAGGGATTCATGGTAGTCACAGTGGGCAAACTTACATTTTCTGTTTTGGGAAAAAAATATTAGATTAACTCCTAATTTTGCTTTGCTATTAAGAATAAAAAATTAATTCCTGAGTAAAAAAAGTTACAAGATTTTAGTTAGAAATTATGCTACATTTTTATATCACAAAACTGGTCAATGAGTTATTTACAAGTCCAAAGATATAAATATGGCTATAAGAAAAATTTAAAAAGAAAAGATGTAACCCAGCAATTAAACCATATAATCCTTCAGGTGGTATAGCCTCAAATGTTTACCCTTTCTCAAGTAGAAATTGGACAACATCTGGATGCCCATTCCTTGCAGCATACATTAAAGCAGTCCAGCCATTTTCAGAAGTTTCATTGAGGAGAGATGGAGAATGACCGAGTATTACTGTTAACTTGGCAATATCTCCTTCTGCAGCTGAATGGTGAAATTGGGAAACTATTTCTTGCTTTGGATTTCTTTCGATAGAAGACATTTCGTCCTTAAAAAAAAACAAACAAACAAAAAAAAAAAACAACTCATTTGCAATTGCTCTTCATATCAATGACTTAACATTATCTGAGTGCTGATATAATTAGAATACTTATGCTTCTAAAACATAATTAGCAAAAGGTAATTAGCAGTCAATGTCATCACAGCATACATTTCAAAATTGTCATCAGTTGGGAATTTTAAATATAATTCAACATGAAGGATATATACATAACATACAGATATCTGGTAATACAGATGAGGAGGCCATATCCTTGGGAGAGGAGCCAGGTAACAGCTTTATAAAGAAAAGCAGGTATTGAAAGTAGACCAGACATAACTTCAATGGGAAGAGGGTTTAAAGCAGATAGAAGTAAAGGCAGAAATTTTTAGCAGATGACAAGTAGTATTTCCCTTAGATTTGCAGTACCAGAAACAGGTCCCTGTCCTCAGAGAAATTAAGAACCTTTAACCTTTAATAAATTATTAAAAAGCTAAGTTTCTCATGAAAACCATGTATTGCTTTTCCTTGCACAACTCTGCAATCTATCTGGAATTGATTTTTGTTCAAGGTGTGAGGTAAGGGTCAACATACATTTTTATCTCATAGAGCAATCCATATGACTTGGCATCATTCTTGAAATTACTATCTTGTCCTTTTGCACTGTAGCATTATCTTTGTCATAAATCAGATGACCATTTTTAAAAATCTATTATAAGACACTGTTCTAATGGTCACTTTGTCTACCCTTGAATCACAGAAACTTTTTAAACCCCTAACTTGGTCTGTTTTGTCATACTGTGCTGTTTAAGTAAGAAAAAAAATACAGAAAATAATTGTTTCATATCTCTTACTAAATGCTGTCTAAACATGGGTCAAAAGCGGTAGGGCAAAAACTGAACTATTTTTGGTAGAAATGGTTCATGTTTCAGTTGTCTATGAATTCCTCAAAGTACCTTTTTTAAATGTATAGGTTTTTTTTTTCTATGAATGCAGTTAAGAAAATAGATGGGTTTCTACTATTTTAAGCAATACATATTTATGCTAAAAAGGAGAGGTTACAATCTATATTTTTTTGAAAGCAGTTGTCTTTAGGGTTCTGACACTACAAATTTGGCAGATTAATTTTATAGTATGAGTAGGGGGAAAATGGGCGAGAGAGAAACTTTATTTTTATTTATCTTTCCTGTTTGTATCTTTCTACTACTTACAAGTAAGTAGGTAAAAACTAAATAGGTGAAATAAATTCACAGGAATGTAAACATTTGAGTAAAACCTAATAATGAAAATCTGTTTATAACTTAATTAAAAGTGACTTCTGTATTAGAAAAACAATTTTTTTCTTTAGATTTACTTTAAAATTTACCTGATCATTGTCTTCATATTGAGCTTTCTAAATTCTTTAAAAATATTGTAATACACAACTTTTAAGGACTTTGTTTTGAAGCACTGCTATAGATAGACTCATGTGTAGTCTCCCTTCTAAATTGCCCTTCTCTTAAATTTATTTGCTATAAAAATCTCAGCATAGAGGTCCTGTAGTTCGGTTTATTGTAAGCAATCCTTCACTGCCTCATTTATGAAGTCATGGTCACTTCCTCACCCTCCCTACAGGTGGTTGCAAAACTGTCCTCCAAATCGCAGTGCCATCCAGCAGCCCCCCTGCGATGCTCAGGACAGCTCAGCCTTTTAGGGAGAAAGGTTTTTAAATGCTCACTCCCCCGCATCAGCTTTCTCAGCATAAAAGCAATCTAGAAGCAGAACCATTATTCATCCCAGAGAAGCAGGGCCAACTCTGAGTCCAGCTCCACGGCTCCATTTACTTTTCCCCTCCCTCTGACAGTCCTCCCTCACTGACAGGTCCTCCGTGGGGTAAGGCCTGGAAGGCAGGGCTGGGTGATTGTTGCCTAAATGCTGCCCTTGCTTTCCGAGAGGCGTGGACTATTCTGAGAGGTCACTTAACAGAATCTTAGGCTTCACCGGTCTTACCTTTGACCCAAACCCTCACCCACTTTTACTGCTGTTGGTAACGGGCCATGGCCTGCCCAGGGGACGCAGGGCTGTGTCCCCAGTCACCGCCGTTCCCCGGGGAGCCAACCCCCTTCCCGGGCACCCAGGAGGCCCTTTACCCGCCCGGGCGCCACCCACACCGTCTCTTCAAAGGGGCACAGGCCCCAAACGGCTTATTTTCTAGCCACTCCTGAGTCCTTCTTTTAATATGAAACCAAACCCGGGGCAGCATTGCCTGGCACCCCTTCAGAGACCGGGCCAGCGGCGGGGTCACCGCTCCTCCGCCCGCTCCCAGGGCGGTGTCCCGGGACCTCGGGCCTCGATGGCGGGGGAAGGGGCAGGAGGCCTGGAGACGGGCCCCGGCCCCTGACCGGGCGACGATGGCTCACTGGCCAACGCCACTACTAACCAAGCGGAAACCAGAGACAGCGGAAACCAGGATGCGGTCAGGGGATGGGGAAAGCCCAACACTTACTCTTTTCAGAGCCGGATACAGCCTTCCTGACTTCCGGTAAAGGGCTGGTGGCCTCGCACAGCTCTCTGGGAGATGTAGTTCGAAGGGCCACCAAGGCTGTGCGCCACCCTAGAAGGGGTGGGGTTCGGGGGAAAGACAGTCCTATGGCAGGAGAGTTCCAGGCTTGGACAAGAGGCTTCCTGGAGGTGAGGGAAGCGTTGGTGATTCTTCCAGGAGAGGTGTGTAGCGTGTGGTGCTGTCTTGGAAAAGTCCAGGTCTGTGGAATGGACTTAAGTTTTCCAGTCATTTGCACCCTTCGATAGAGAACCAATGCAATGGAGTGCTCAAAGTATTCTTTTTTTTCCATATTAAAGAAAATTGGGGTGAGTGGGGGTGGGAGGGGTGCAGAAAATTGGAATATGCCTTGGACCAAGACTTTCCAGTACATGACCTTAAGTAAGCTGTTGGCCTCTGAAACTCAACCTCCTCATGTGCAAAATGGTGCCATGTGTTGATGCCCACCACCTCCTTCAGTAAAAAGTACATACCAAGTGCCCACAACACACCTTCTTGGTTTGCTGTGAGATTTAAATAGGATAATGCATGCAGTGCTAAGTCTATAGCTAGTACCCTCGACACAATTATTATTGTCGTTGTTGTTTGTTATGCTCCAAAACCTACAGAAGTTGTGTGAGTCGAGATTACAAAGGTAGGTGTTGGCAGTCTAATAACTTCCACATTTTTTCTTTACTAAATTGTCTCTTGGGCAATCAGCAACAATTTAGGAGTCAGGAGTTCTAAACCAGGTGGCCAGCAATACTCAAGGAGAGGAAAGGTCACTCTTCGAGCAAGGTTCCACCCTACAATACCATGCTTCCCATCTTGTCTGTTGCTAGGCACTGGAAGCTTTGGCTCTGGTGTCCTTCTGTACCTGGGCTATCTTTTCTACTCTGCTTTGGTCGGTCTAACTACCCAATATCTCAATTAGAAGCTTATCACAATGAAGTTTTATGTTCCCATCAACATTGTACTCTCATAACTGCTCTTTTTAGCTTTATTTATGCTTCTATCTGTCAATAGATGTCTTCAGTTCTTAATGATTTCAGTGATTAGGCAAGAGCTTAGAAATACTCAGTTTTAGTTAATTTACTTGGAATATCCAGTCTTGCTATTCCAACATAAGTTAAAGTAAATAGTAAAAAAAAAAAAGTTAATAGATTAGTAATGCAATATAAGTGATTATTAATATATAATCTTCCAGTCCTTTAGATTCTTGTGAAGTAAATTCTAGATACCATGTTATTTTACTAATATTTAATAATAAAACTTTTGGAATTATGAATATACTAGACATCTGATGCATGAAATTCGTGCAAGGGCTTAGTCCCAGAAGGTTGTCCTGAAGGTCATTCTGCTGTCTGGTCTAATTAGGATATTACACTTTTATTATTATAGGTATCTATAATATAAAAGGTATTTAAAAACATTACTATAATATCATTAATGCAACTTAAATTTTACAATAATTCTGTAATATGAGACTTTCAGTATCAAATTTTATTATCTCAAAAATTTTATTTTACATATGTTTTGCTTGAGTCAGAACCTACACAAAATCTCCACATTATATTTGATGATTTGATCATCTTTTGCTTTATAGAATTTCCACATTCTGAATTTTGAAAATTGTATACCTATGATGTCTTTTCTTCTGTATTTCTTGTAAATTGGTAGTTAAATCTACAGGAATATCAGATTAAATATTTTTCCCCAAAAAAACTCACTTCATAGGTGTTTTTCTCTTATCAAAGTTTTTATCCCTCTTTCCCTTTCTCTCTCTTGAAATTCATTAAAAACATATCAAAAAATATTCTGGCCTTAGCCAGTTCTGCTCAAGTATTTTTAGAGGACTTCTCTGATCACCCAGTTTACAGTAACTCTCCTGATATTTTCTTTTTTTTTTTTTGTCATTCTTTTTGATAATTCTTGTTTCTAATGCTTATTGGTTTTCTCTATTTGAATGTGAATTACTACCTGAGAAAGCTCAAGTTTATCTCAATTACGGCTGTTTTCTCAGTATCTGGAATTTTGATTGGTATATGGGAAACATTAAGTGAATATTTGTTGATGTTGAATAAATGGTGGTTTTCATATAAAATTAAATATATTTTTGAGGTTACTGCCATGCCTGACAGGTAGGATTTCTCCCTAACATTGAGCAGGCATGCATCTAACTTTCTGTGGTCATATTTATTGTGTGTTTATGGAATGTAGTCAGGAAAATACTTGATTTAGTTGTTCCCTTGCCTCATTGTCTAGTGAAGTAAAATTACATCCTCTATAATAGAGTGAAGACCAATGAAGACACATTTACAGGCCAGGGTTAGAAAAAAGGTGTAGTGGAGACTTAGTAAAGTGCTTACCAATGTGTTATTTCCTCTCTTTCCAGAGCTTCTTTACAGCCAGGCAGCGCCCTGTGGACACGGGGTGCTCTTCTGGGCCAAAGCAGCCAGGAGAGAGTAAACTGCCCTCTAGATCT